CCCCAAAACCCCAAAACCCCAAAACCCCAAAACCCCGTATCTTTAATTAAGTATAGAAATAGATAATAATAAATTTCTACTATAATGAAAACTACTCCACCTACCATACAATTTTGGGATGATTCCTCCTGAACTGTCTCTGAAGAGTACAGTGAGTCTCCTCCCAAAAATAACGTTTATCACTGGAAAGGGAATGCGAATGCTCTCAGAGATGTCACGGGAAAATCCAAAAGCTCACTAACTATCTTGAAGCAGCCTATTCTAGAAGAGAGCTCTTGCTTTCAAAAATCGAAGGGCAAACTTGGGAGAAAAAGCATTGGGTTATCAGAGCCGACTTTCATACTGCCCCAAGACTCAAAGACTAGTGGGTCTTGCTACAAAGTTATGAAAAGGCTCAGAAAGTCTTCATCATCAGATGTACTTCATTTTCCTAGGAATTCTGAAGAAATTAAACCTCTGAATTGGAAAGAAAAATGCGAGGAGAGCCAAATGATTCCTTCATCAAGAATCCTCCTCCTGCTCCACAAGAAGTCTTAACTCTTCATGTAACTGTCTAAGAGAGTGGCTATTCAGTCGATAATCTTAATTTTTCATAAAATACAATTAACCCAATATTCCTATCTCCCTCCATGGTAAATTTAGTGTTCATTGAGGCCGTCCCCTTAAAACTTATACCGCCCCATTTTTATCAGAATTTCTTAATTCTTCGCTAATTCCTATAAGCCAGAATTTCTTATTTAGCTTCAGTAGTAAGGCAAAGACAATTTATCTATTTCATACATCTAGAGGCTGAGTCTCGTTCCATTATTCCTATCATATGATGCTATACCGTGTTACTGTTATCTAGAGGCACGCTGATGCATGCCTTTATTAACTGTCTGGTGGTTAAGTAATCAAGCTAGTTAACCATAATAACTATTTCAAAAAACTATATAGCAACAAAAACCTGGTTTAACTAAAATATTGGAGATAAAATAGAAAGGTTTGCAATAACTTCTAAGAGAGAAGACTTCTTAGAAGTCTTTAAGAGGAGCTTATCACAATAAATCGAAAAATTCGACTAAAGAAATAGGACTTGTCAATCAATACCGCTAAAATAGGACCCAATACCGTATGAAATATATACGCTTGCATGAACTGTTAAGTCTTTTGAGGATAACAACAAGGCAGTACATCTAATATGAAGGAGGCTTAATGCAATTTTCAAACCCTTATCAGTTACCTCTCTATAATACTTCACGCCTATTTATTCAATTAGAAATCAATTAAGCTGGCATAAATTTTCACCTCAACGAAAACTTATTTATTAACTTGAAACCTAGGATTTTTCTCCAAAAAGAAATAAGACTGAGCAATTGGCTGCTTTCAGAGATCTGATAGTAAAAGAGACAATATTCTATCGAGTTAGGCTCAACTTTACCTTAAAAATTCCTAGGCTGATTCTTACACAAAATGGCGAAGAATTATGCAAAAACTCTTAAAAAATAGCATGCTAATTTAGAAAAATCTATCCACAATGATGGCCTAGATAATTGAGTTAATTACTTTAGAGAGAATTAGAAGAAAAGTTTTCGAAATTTCTTCGAAATTATCGAACTTCGTCTTCTTCCACTACCAGTTTAATTAGTTGCTTTCTTAATTTTGAATTTTATTGGTAAACCAGGATGTATTAAATACGAACAATCTGACTGATTCTTTATTGGAGAGGCTCATTTAACTCCAGCAAACTCGTAGGAATATTATGGGGTTTTACCTGAACAGTCTAGGTATATTATTACAAGAACATCCCTATGTAACTTCGGGATATTAATAATAGTGTTCTAATGTAAACCTTTGTGCTATTAGTTAAGAAGCGGGATTAAAATTAGGACATCGCCTTTAGCTTGTACACTTATTGTATAAAATTATCTTAATTTTTCACAATAGTAACCCGTTTGAATAGGTTCAGGGATTTAAAAGGTTTACTGTTTCAATTCTATATGCGATAAAAGGGGTTTTGGGGTTTTGGGGTTTTGGGGTTTTGGGG